CTATTAATGTAAGCTGCTAATGAGATATATACATTATGCTTAAGTGGACTGGCTTACAACAGATTTCTGCATGCTTCATTCAGTCATGGTGATTATCTGTTAGTGCTATTCGCAAGAATTTAGATTTTTTTTATCATTGTCGACAATTAAACGCTGCAAAATACTAATTATAGGAGCTGATGTTTGGATGATGTATTTCCACCTTTTGGAACACTACAATTGCTGGTCTTCAATTATGTATGTATCTTCTAGCACATCTACTACTAATTTGTTAGAGCTGTTTCAGAATAATACCTCTCTAATTTGTAAAACAAAATATTACAGGTTAATGCTGCCAATTTCCTCATGTTCACGTTCATTTCCTGTCTTGACCTTTTGACCTACAAGAACTTCACTGGCCGAACAGTTAAGGTTAACTGCTGTATATAACTAATTTCTTGAATCGTGAAGGTCCTGCTGTACACTGCTAAGCTTCCAAACACCCGCTGTCATGCACAAACACACAGTAACCTTTCTCTGTCACTGTGGTAACCTTTCTGGTAACCACAGTGACAGGCAAAATAGAGGTGGGAAGTAATGGAAGGAAGTTAGCCCTCTCGGTTGGAGAAGGCTGACCTGTGGAGTTGGGTTTGTTCAGGTGTGACATAAATGTAGGCGACCAAGGTAAGGAAACTGAAATAACAGAAACTCTTTTTGGCAGCTCACCTTCTCTTTACCAAACTCACACTTCCTATGAGATATTAACCAAGTTCACTGAGGGGGTACAGGTATTAATTTCACTGGAAAAGCGCAACTTATTTCACTCTATATCTCAGCTGCCCCCCTTTTGTCCATGAATACAGGTTTTCAAATGCCTACCAGAATATAACAGTAAATATCAAACAGTAGATACAACTGACTCCTGAGCTATTTGGAGGGTTGAACAAGAAATGAAATCACTGGGTTCTTCGTGTCATTGCTTGACAGAGAATTGGGGGGAATTACACTAGCTGGTGTAATTATATGAGTCAGACATAACACAGACACACACACTCTAAGAGAGCAAGAATGTAAGATAGATAAATACAATAAGAGAAAAATAATATTATTGAAGCTGCACTTTCTTCTCACTTCTATTATGACTTATCCTTGAAATACAGCAGCAATACACTTGGCATTGCCTGCTGATGTGCAAGCATTTTTTTGACACAAAACATGGATGACAAATGCACTTTGAAATCTAGAGTAAATTAAAGCAAGAAGGCCACCATACATCCTCAGGCTAAAGCAGTGATTGATTCGTGCCGACTGATTGATTGACTGGTTGAAACAAGCAGTGAGCTGGCATTTTCTGACATCCTTGAAGAAAATTAGTGCAGACAAAGCCTATTTTTCAAGCACCTTGAAGACACTACTGATTAAGTCAAATGCTGCCCCTAGTCGTATATGCATTCATAACCGGAGAGAATCTTCCATCACACAAATGCACAAGTTATCAAAGTTTTGATGACAGAGTGGGATTTTCTCAATGACTGCACAAGGAAAATGCACACGTCAAGCACTTTTGGGTAGTTTTTGTCACGTGTCTGTTCAGGGGATGGTGTGTGTGTGTGTGTGTGTGTGTGTGTGTGTGTGTGTG